TGCACCAGTCTGCAAACAATGAGTTTAGTCTTTCCATTCCCACCCTTAGCACTTACAATCCTAAGGCATCCTGGTAAAGCTTTTTCATCATATTAAAATCAAATAAGGATAACATTAGCTTGTGCTATACTGTTCATTTTAAGATGAATCCGGCCACAAGAAAACCTAACATTCAAGAATGAGAATTAGAGAGTCTTGGCCTTTGCTACAGCCCGGCATCAGCTGCAGACCTCAGACTGCAGCAGCACTGGGCATCCTCCCAGAGGACTCAAAACAGTGGCTGGGTCTTAGGTAGCACTTGGGTATCCAGATTAAGAAATAAAACTCGTAAAAGAGATGTTGTTATCAAAGGCTCAGAATCACTGATTTCAAAACCAATAAACTATGAGAGTTAATTTTGACGGAAAGGTGCATATAATTTTCTGCTGGAGATTTAAAAAAAATTTTTTTTAATCTATCATCTATCCCTAGGATACCTCCAAATTGGATTTCCCGCACACTTGGATCCCCTTCTAGTTCATCTCCATATCTTGGCCAGAGTGATCATTTTGAGTTAAAAATAACATGCCATCTTTCCTTAAATCCTTAGAATGCTGTAATTGTTAAGTTGATCTCGCAGAAATAGAGAGTAGAATGGTAGCTACCAGAGTCTGGGTAGGGAGAGATTGGTTAATGGGAACAAAATCACAGTTAGACAGGAGGAATAAGTTCTAGTGCTCTATAGCACAGTGACTATTGTTAACAATTTATTATATGTTTCAAAATAGCTAGAGGGAAGGGATTTGAATGTTTCTAACAAAGAAATAAAAAGTTCAAGGTTATAGATATCATGGTTATCCTGATTTGATCACCACACATTATATACATGTATTGAAATATCACATATGCCCCATAAATATGTGTAATTCTTATCAATTAAATTTTTAGAAACATTTAAGAATTAAAACACTTTAATGGCTTTTCATTGCTCTTAGAAGAAAGATAAAAATCAAGAATTTGACCCACAAGTTCTAAAAGGTATTTTTATGTTTAACCTCATTTGGTAACATGTTTTTTTGTTTGTTTGTTTTTGTTTTTGTTTTCTTTTGAGATGGAGTCTTGCTCCGTCACCCAGATTGGAGTGCAGTGGCTCACTTGACTCACTGCAACCTCCACCTTCTGGGTTCAAGCGATTCTTACTTCTGCCTCAGCCTTCTGACTAGCTGGGACTACAGGGATGTGTCACCATGCCCAGCTAATTTTTATATTTTTAGTAAAGACGGGGTTCCACCATATTGGCCAGGCTAGTCTTGAACTCCTGACCTCATGATCTGCCCACCTCAGCCTCCCAAAGTGCTGGGATTACAGGTGTGAGCCACCACACCTGGCCAGGTAACATGTGCTTGTTCTCTCTCTCTTTTTCCTCTGTCTCTTTTAATTTCTTCAGCCGTACTATTTCCCTCTGCCACAGGCCCTTTGCACATCTGTTTCCTCTGTTCCCCTGGCTTGCTGTCTCTCATTTGTGCCTCAGTTACTCATCTCCTTCGTTTGGTTAATTTCAGGTCTTCTCAGGTCAGACATAACTTCCTCTTGGAAGCCTTCTTTGAAGTTCCCAATCACCTCAGCTCTCCATCCCTGTGTGTTGCAAAAGCTTAGAACTCCATGTATCTTCCCTTCATGTCACTCCTGCAATAATTTTTATTTGTGTGATTATTTAAATAAAGTATATGTGTTTCAGTAGAGGTCTGTAAGATCATGAAAGCCCAGGCCATATTTGTTTGTTTGGTTGGTTATTGCTCGCTTAATTATAGTTTTCCGTTTGGTGACTGACATGAGAGAGACCCTCAATAAATATCTGACAGTTGTGTGAACGAATTAATGATCAGAGAGCCAGTGGGGTAAGTATGCCCAGTCACATAGTTATTAGGACTTAGGTTGTCATCCCTTTGCTGGGTTTCTTATTCTGTGAAAGAAGCTGGCATCCTTGCTTCCAGTGGTCATTTGAGCCCAGGAACACTAGAATCTGGTGACAGATGAGCCACAGTGTGAGGCTGCTACAATGGTATTCGTCTTACCACTCACCTGAGAGCTCCTGAAGGGAAAGGCATGGAATCCAATTTGTTCCCCTTTAGTGGAAAGTGACCACAGGAATATAATCTGCCTTCTGCTGTCATACATGGCCCCTTGACATTCTTATCTCCTGGAGCAGAGTCCAAGCCCAGAGGCCTGTCCCAACATCAGGAGATCCTGGGGCCTTCACATTTGATTGGAGTATTCCATGCCTTTGTCTTCAGGGGCTGTCAGGTGCATGTTAAATCTAATACCTGATTGTATCATGTAAATTATGATCTATTATATAATTATATGTAAAATACCTTACCTAACACCGTAATAGCCTGACTCTGTAATGGAAGCCTTACTGAGGCACTAGTCCAAACATTGAGTAGCTCCATCCTTTCACCTGTTATAATACACAGAGAACATTCCATGAATGGAGAATGAATAATCCTGTCATGGGAAAAAAATGCAGCAAGTCAGACAGCAGACATCAAGACAGTTAGAAATTGGAAGGCTTTTATGTAACTGGTCCCGATGCAGGACAACAAAAGGGAAGTGATGAAGACCAGACAATGGGCAAGGTAAGGTAGACTCAGTAATGGCAGCCAAAGTTGTATTCTTCTCAGCAGTGTGAGTGTCTGCTCTCTCTCAGTGGAGACTGAAGTAGAGTTGCCTGAAGGTGTGAATTTCCCCTCTGTTCTCTTGCAAAAGATGGCCTCTGCCTGATGCTCACTCTGTCGCCACAAAGTACATTAAACTTGTCTCTCACCCTCTTTCCTCATTTCCACCCCCGCCTGGAATGGAAACTGCCTGCCATGTTTTATTCCATGGATAACCTCAGTACCCTTGCTATTTCCCAAAGATACTTGTTTCAAAAGCGGGCTCTTTCCCCATGCCCACACCTAGGGCTGGCTTCCCCGCAACTCTGTTGAAAACCTAGGAGTGGAAACTAACTGGAAACAGAAGAGAAATTCATCAGTCCACTTTGGTTGTTTAAATGAAGGACACGTCAGCAAGAATAGTTGACATTTATATTTATTAGTGAAGGGAATTCAAGTAAGTGCAGGTTGTCTGGGCTTGTGGATATTTATTTTGTAGTTTTGAATGGAATTTCTCTTTTCACCCTAGGGGAGAATTTGTGCCTATGTACTTACTGAGAGTCCACTGCTGTGGGCCCCACGCACAATGCTTGGCTGGGCATAGAGCAGAGGAGCAGGTCACACAGATTCATAGGATTTGAACTGCTTTTCTTTTCCCTGTGAATTAATCTTTTAAATGTCAACATTTTAAACTTGGCTTTTTCAAAAAATATGATACCATATGAACCCAACGTAATCGAAAATACATCTCTAGTTCAAAGGTTTTTGTTGCTTTTGTTTTCTGAAGGTGGGAAAGGCTAACAACAGCAACAAATTGTTAAAGGGTGGAGTGTGTGCGAGGGAAGCTGGCTTTTGTCAACAGGGTCTAAGCAACTTTGCTCCTTAAGAATCTAAAGTCTTGTTCCGAAGGCCATTTCTTTTTTTTACAGGTCTGGGATTTTACAGTGCAGAATGTATCTTTTTCTGCCTACCCCTGGGAAATTTGAAATCATACAATTTCAATTACTTTTTAAATGGACATTGTAGGTCTTTTACAGCTATGTTGATATATAGCCATTTATTTTTTTGTAGCATGTTACAGATTACTAATACATCTGCAATTACCTGCTTTCTTCTATTTTTTTTTTTTTTTTTTTNCAGAGTTTTACTCTTGTCGCCTAGGCTGGAGTGCAATGGCACATTCTCAGCTCACTGCAACCTCCGGCTCTCAGGTTCAAGCGATTCTCCTGCCTCACCCTCCCAAGTAGCTGGGATTACAGGCACCTGCCACCACACCCAGCTAATTTTTTGTGTGTTTTTAGTAGAGGTGGGGTTTCATCATGTTGGCCAGGCTGGTCTTGAACCCCTGACCTCAGGCAATCCACCCACCTCGACCTCCCAAAGTACTTGCATTACAGGCGTGTGCCACCATTCCCGGCCACATGTTTTTTACAACAACCCTTTAAGACAGTAAGATATTATTAAGCCCAACTCATAGATATGTTACTAAGACTGAAGGAGGCTGAATGACTTGCATGATGTCATCCAGCTTGTTAATGGCACATGAGAATTCATGCCCAGGGGAGCCTTGATTGCCCACAGTGCTATATTCTCTCCGTAATGAATGATCTGGAATTCCAGAAAAGTAGGTTCGAATCCCAGGACCGCCACTTACTAGCTGTGTTAACCTTGAACAAGTGATGACATCTTTTTGGACTTCAGTGTCTTCATCTGTAAAGTAGGGGAAGATTGCCTATCCCTCTCTCCAGACTAGACTAAGAATCTGTGAAGAATAACATGAGATCATTTTGATAGTTTAAAATGCTAAAGCATAAAAGAATTAACCATTATTATCTTAACTAATAATAGGGCTGAGTCCAGTGTCATATCAGATATCAGGCAAGGTATCTTCCATCCTTCCTATCATACAATTAGGGAACAAGAAATAACGAGGGGAATTTGGGTTGAGGGGTTGTCTTGAAGACACAGGAAGTGGAGTGGTCCATGACCTTGTCAGCTAGGCTAAATTTTTTAAGTTGTGTGTGTACACCTTTTATCTTTGTGGGTGCTAAGACTGTTAACAAAGCCTTTGGAGGAATTGAATATCATGTTGCCACTGATAAGCACTATTAATTTTCAAACCCCTGAAACTTACAGTAGTTGGTGTCCTTCAGATTTGGAGTGTATCCATCATAGCAAACGCTTGCCTGCCAGGGAATGTCACAGGGATTCTGTTAAAGGCAGGCAGATGCTCCTAGCTATAGGAGTGAGCCAGAGCTGCCGTCACGCCTGAGCCGGGGACTATCCCAAGCCCCAGTCCCCAGTCACCAAGTCAGGAACAGCCAGAAACTGACTCCTTCCCTCTGACGTTGGGCTGTTTTTCAGGGTGACGTTCAGCGGACACTTATCCAAGTGGACTTCGGCGATGGTATCGCGGTGTCTTACGTGAATCTCAGCTCCATGGAAGATGGGATCAAACACGTCTATCAGAACGTGGGCATTTTCCGTGTGACCGTGCAGGTGGACAACAGTCTGGGTTCTGACAGCGCCGTCCTGTACTTACATGTAACTTGTATGTTATTACTGTTGTTGGTTTATGACCTCTCTTAAATAGTGTCCTTTTCAAATTGAATTCAAAATTTTATATCTAGAAGAGGTACAGTAGTTATCTTTTAACAGAAGGGGAATGGGGAAGAAACATGTAAGAGAAGAATGTCAAAGAGTAGAATTTGAATAATCCTGAACTCTGGATTGCTTCAAATTCTCATTGCACTGACTCTGCCTCCCCCGGGTGCTTTGAAGATACGACACTTGAGTTTGGAGGCTGGGCCTGAGCAACCTGCAGAGCTGTTTGGTTGAAACAAAGAAATTTGGTTGGGGTCGGGTGTCAGAAATTGTTGGAAGCAATTCCACATGCACCACTCAATCTAATGCATTGAGAATTAGCACAAGTAAAGACATTTCTCCTTATCTGATTATTTCTGTCTTCTCATAATATGTTGCTATTATCCTCTTAGAGTTTTGCTAATAATCCTTTTAGAGTTTTGTTCCTTTTTAGAAAAAAAAAAAAAAGTGTTTCCTGGGCTTCTGTCTGTGGGTGACTTCATGTTAGAGAGAAAGTGGTATGAAGAGAGAGTATAAAAGCAGTGTTAAGGCTGGGTGCAGTGGCTCATGCCTGTAATCCCAGCAGTTTGGGAGGCTGAGGCGGGTGGATCACGAGGTCAAGAGATCGAGACCATCCTGACCAACATGGTGAAAACCCGTCTCTACTAAAAATACAAAAATTAGCTGGGTGTGGTGGCATGCACTTTTAGTCCCAGCTACTTGGGAGGCTGAGGCAGGAGAATTGCTTGAACCTGGGAGGCGGAGGTTGCAGTGAGCCGAGATCGCGCCACTGTACTCCAGCCTGGCGCCTCGCAACAGAGCTAGACTCTGTCTCAAAATAAATAAATAAAAATAAAACAGTGTTAAGGAAACTACGGTAGGAAACAGTTTCAAGAAATGCTAAAGCTTTTCCCTCATTGATGATTCTAAAGATATGAATAAGTATGATGAGAAAATAATAACTTCTAAGTTTTGTGTGCTTAAAACGCATGTCATTAATATGTTAGGTGTAAGGGGTTTCCCTGTCATTGGACTTGTGTTGGCTACTAAAGAAATTGTTTCTTTTAAATGAAAGTAGCTACTTTGTATGAATGGCCTTGTTCAAATATCAAGTCCATGAGTCTTAAGGCCAGGCAATATGACTCTATGCTTCTTTTCTGGAACAGAACTGCCCATGGAACAAAATTGAGTCAGAAAGTATCAATTAGAACGTTTTCCATTTTAGCTGCTGTGGTCCAGTGAGAGGGCAAGACTATTAAGGGATGACCAAGAGATGTTTTGGTTGTTCAGTTTTTCTAATGTGTCTGTAATTCTGATCTCTGTCTCCTGAACTCTCATGACAGAGGTGTTTCAAAGAAACATACACTGCCTTATTTGGGTCTAAACAAAGTTACACGTGATTCTCAGTATGCCAACTCAGTCTGCCTATTTTTGGCTACAGTTTACAGTGTATTCCAGGCGTTGTGTGCTAAACAGGCTCTTAATGTATATTATCTCACTTCTCAAAACGGTCCTGTGAAGTAGGCACTATTAGTCACCCTATTTACGAAAAGTGTTGAGGCTCAGAGAGCTTAATTACTTGTTTGAAGTGGTGGACTGACTGCCTAGCAGAGCCAAGCTTCAGACTCAGCCCCACCTGTCACAAGGATCCTAGCTCTTAGTAACTAAGGTCAGTGTCAGTGCCAAGAGTGGCTTGGGATTGGAGGAACTGTCTCCATCAGCTTTTACCGTCTGTTCCCTACTGTTTAGGGATCATTTTGAAGAAACATAAATGCTTTGGTTGGAAGCAGTGTGCTTGTTATACAACTACATAGGTTCAGGACTCATCACGTGGGCTCCCTTCCATCTAACAGCCATCCCTAACTTGTCCTATATAGACTTCCACTTTCTAAGATGTGTCACTTACTAAGACGTAAGACCTCCCTATATGTTAGTATGTAGGGAAATGATAGTGATGGTATCACAGAAATGATCATCTTTAAATCTTTAACAATACCTCACTAACATTAACGATTAGTAGCGAAAATAACTTGCAGTAAAAATGATGGTGCATTTGCCGAGAATGGCTCCTACCTAGATCATATCATACCTCATAGCTTATTCTGTAAGGGGGAATTTAGCTGGAGAGCTAGCTTCATTACAGATTATACTTGTGTTCTATATGCCACAAATTGGTCATACATCTACCATGTAAATACTGATTTAAAAGCAAGTATCAGCTTCTGATCTAAATTTTTCAGGGTATCCCATTAATACCATAGCTTTACTTCCTTGTCACTCTGCAGGCTGTTTCTCATTCTTGTGTGTGTGCTCATACTCCTGGAGGTGTCTGTTGCTCCCCTGCAAGGCTCCTCCCTCGTTAACGAAGTCCTTGAAAGGAGAACAACATAGAGATTGTCTCTGCCCAAGATTACAGGCTGCAGAAACCGTGACTTCTAAAAGAAAACAGTTCCTTCGTTCATTTGCAATTCTTTGATTTCATTAGCCTAGTTGATTGGACAAAATATTTGACCTTAACCTTAGAGGAAGATAATTTGTAATGGAATGTTTCGTGTTCTGACTTTAATTTGGTAGACTCGTCTTGGGTTAAGTAGTTGGACAAGCATGCCTCATATAATGGATCTTTGGTACTAATTGTGTTGAAAGCAATCATGTTTGAAGCTGTTTGCTCACCCATATACATCTAAAAGTCATGTCATACCTGTTTCAGCAGATTCTGACATGCTTGGTTAGCACCTCCCTCCTAAAGGAGCCAGGGTGCTTTGCTATGCACACAAACTCATTTTGCTTGTCTTCACATCTATCCCATAATAGGCTTCTGGCCTTTTCTTTCAAATGGAGAAATCAAGGATTGAAGAAGCACTGTGGCTTTGGTATCACTTTATGCCCAAAGGAAGTCAGAACAAGAACATAATTGAGTCACACTCTCAGGCATCCCAAAGCTGGAGGGTATCATGAGTGACTATTAGTGCCAAAGAGCCATGATATGGCAGTGAGAGGTGGCTTTATAGGGGGAAGAAAAGCACTGGACAGAGTCAGACATTCTGACGAGGTGCAGATTTTGGTTCAAACTCCTGGGAAAGTCACGCTATCTCTCTGAGCCTAGATTTTCTCCCCTGTCAAGTAGATGCCCATCTCATTCCCAAAAGTCCCAACAAACAAAATATGTGGTACCCTGGCATCTAGTAAAACTTGATTTTTCTATCATCACAAAGTAACATGTACATTTGGACTTGCCAGATTTTGAGGGAGAGGAGAATTAGCAGCAACTCTTAGCTCACCAAGCCTGTCTTTGCCCCTCGTCCATTCCTACCCTCTGGGGCAATCCTGAAAGCCCTTTGCCTGTCTCTCACACACACATTCCTACCATTCTCCAGTGCAGAAAGGTGATTTGACTCCAAACCAGAAGGTTTGAGAAAAAGATGGGTTTGCAGAGGTCATCTGAAACAAATGGAGTCGATGTTCCTGCGTAGCGTTTCCAGGAGTGGGCCAGTCTTGCCGGGTGCCTGGTAATCTGTTATAGCCCGACAGTTGGAAATTCCTTGCGGGTAGTATTCACTGGCTCTCCTAGTTTGCAAACTAATGAGACATGTGCTGTAGCCAGTGTTGGTTTCAGTCGGATGGGGCAGAGGATTTACAGAGCATGCAGATTTCTGCTCAGAAAGCTGCCCTGTCGCAGCCAATCTTACAGAAAAAAAAAAAAAAAAAAAAAAAAAAAAAAAAAAAAAAAACAAAAGAAAGTGCAAAAAAAAAAAAAAAAAAAAAAAAGATAAGACAGATCTTCTAGTCCTTCCTAAACCACTTTCCTTAGCTGTTCCCTTACATAGGAGCCATGTACAGGTGTCTTTGTGGCCCCATCTTAAAATGATCCATGTAGCTTGAAAACCCAAGTAGTTTTTCAGCTATTTATACCATCATTTTATTGTCCAGCAAACGTCAGACTAGGATTTTGTAAAGTGTAATCTAATGAGCCACCTGCCCCAAAGTTAAGTGATAAAAATATGCGTTTTAGGTCTTATTTCAGACCACCGAATTAGGATTCCTGGAAGTATGACCTCATAATCTGCTTTGAACAGATTAGTATGATTTTTAGGTACACTGAATTTTGAGAAACTGTTTTAGGATCTCAAGTTTATAGTGTGAATCACTCTTATTTTGTCTAGTAGCTTTTTTAAACATTACAGACAAATAGCAATATGATATGTACACAATATTTAATTAGGTGGTCAAAAGTCTCCAGAACATAAATGCTGCTGACAGGCCAGTAGCCAGCACACACAGATACATACACACACACACACACACACACACACACACACACACACGCAATGTGCAGTCAGTTGTTTCCTGCAGCACAGGCGGACTATAAACAAGAAAAGAGAAGGGAAACCCAATTCACACAAGTAATTCCCCAATTCTCTCAACCACCTTTTCAGGAAGATTCATGTAGAATGATGCAGCGCCACCTACTGTCCCTTTTTGGCATTGCAGGCACCTGTCTGATGGAGCTGCTTCTGCCAGTTCAGCTCTCTGCTTAATGCAGCCAACTGGGGGCCTCTAGGGGGTGGAGTTTCACCTCTGCAGCTCCATTAGGGCATACTGCACCCTCTGTGATGAACAAAGATGGTCAAAGAATATGCTTTTGGATAGCAGAAACTGGGTATTTTAAACCTGTGAAAAGTAAATGAATAAATGAGGCTGTGGGAATCTGAAAGATACATTTCATATGTGTATGTATATATAATGTATATGCATGTAAGCGTGAACTTATACAAACACACACATACATATTTTAGGGCCTTCGAGGCCAACATACTATGTGTCATGAATTTCTCTTAGAAAATTCATCACTGGCCGGGTGCAATGGCTCAAGCCTGTAATCCCAGCACTTTAAGAGGCTTAGGCCAGATCACCTGAGGTCGAGAATTCTAGATCAGCATGGCCAACATGGTAAAACCCTGTATCTACTAAAAATAAAAAAAAAAATTAGCCAGGCGTGGTAGCGGGTGCCTGTAATCCCAGGTACTTGGGAGGCTGAGGCAGGGGAATCACTTGAACCTGGGAGGCAGAGGTTGCAGTGAGCCAAAACTGCACTACTGCACTCCAGTCTGGGCGACAGAGTGAAACTCCATCTCAAAAAAAGAACAATCATTGACCAAAATGGGGTTATGTGAAAATAAAAAATTTCTCAAACATGGCAAGTACCCCTCTTCCTCATGGTCTTTGTACTTACTCTATTCTCACCCTGGAACTTCCCAAATCGATACCTGGTGCTGTCTTTCACTTTATTCAGGTTGCTGCTCAAATGCCATTTCTTCTGAGAGGCCTTCTGTGACCACGCTTTCAAAACTAGCACTTCATCACCTACCTCTGCTTTATGTGTTCAGTGCCTTCCTCACTCAGAAACACCTAAGCTCCACCAAATGCCAGATATCCCCAGCACCTAGAATAATACTCAACAGATCACAGGACTCAAAATCTATTGAGTGGGGGCTGGGTGCTGTGGCTCAAACCTGTAATCCCAGTACTTTGGGAGGCCAAGGTGGGTGGGTCACAAGGTCAGGAGTTGGAGACCAGCCTGGCCAACATGGTGAAACCCCGTCTCTACTAAAAATACAAAAATTAGCCAGGTGTAAAAAAATTAGTTAGGTGTGCTGTTACACACCTGTAGCCCGAGCTACTAGGGAGGCTGAGGAGAATTGCTTGGACCCAAGAGGTGGAGGTTGTAGTGAGCCGAGATCGCATCGCTTCACTCCAACCTGGGTAACAGAGGGAGGCTTTGACTCAAAAAANAAAAAAAAAAAAAAAAAAAAAAAAAAAAAAAAAAAAAAAAAAAAAAAAAAAAAAAAAAAACTCTGAGTGAATGAATTACCATGTTTTACTAACAATATTCAATGTTTTTTCATTGAGCTAATGACATATAGGCATTATTCTTACTCTGGTTTATGACTTTAAAAAAATGCTCATATGTAAGAGACAAAATGAACCTCTTTAGAATGGAACTAGCATTTCTAGCATAGCTTATCTAGACGTTGTATTCTAATGGATTCATTTAACTCAGATGGAGGGACTCAGGGAGAATTTCACAGAGGAGGGGATGCTGGAACTGAGACCTGAAGACTGACAGGTGCCATAAGAAAGGTGTGTAGAAGCAAAGACCCTGAGGTGGACCAGGACATGGCTCACTGGAACAAACCATTGGATGGGAAAATGGCAAGACTTGTGCAATAAATGAAAGCAAATGGAAAGTTTTTTTTTCTTTTTTTTTTGAGACAGAGTCTCGCCCTGTCTCCAGGTGCCAGGCTGGAGTGCAGTGGTGTGATCTCGGCTCACTGCAACCTCCACCTCCCGGGTTCAAGCAATTCTTCTGCCCCAGCCTCCCAAAGTGCTGGGATTACAGGCGAGAGCCACCGCACTTGGCCAGATCATGGAAATCTTAATTTTGAACAAGTATGAGTAACATGATCGACTTGGCTATCTAGAAAAATCACTGTTGCAGCCATTTGGAGGATAGATTCAAGTGAGGAAAGGTGAGAGGCAGGAAAATCTGGAAGGGAAGTGAGAAAGGTGCTTAGAATATGTACCAGGGTGCCAGACTGTGGAGGGTGAGATACATATCTTAGAGATATTTATGAAACTAAATCATTAGTTTCCTAAATGGATGTGAATGACAACGAAGAAATTGAAATTGACTTTCTGTTTCTGCAGTGGGCCCTGGATGAATATGAGCGTTAATCACCAAACTTTATAGAATATGGGAGAGGGAAATAACAGGGTCCTTGAGAACATTTGACTCCTGGAGCCAAAGAAGTCTAGAGCCCATCAGAAGGAGTAGAGCCCAGAAAGGGGTGTGAGAGCCCTGCACATGGGTTTGATATTTGAAGGTTAAGGTGTGGGTGGTGGTGCCTAGTGGAAAAGTATGTAGAGTCTCAACACAGGATTCTGGGAAACACATATAAAGCGCAGGCAGAAGAAGAGGTAATTAAACTGGGTGAATAGGCCCAAGGTATTGCTCTCTCTCCTCCACCTCATGGGCCCAAATGGGGATGGCAAATGTGTAGGAACCTGCATTTTGCCTGGAAACAGTGACCCAAAGAGAAGATTGGGGGTCAAAGGAAAGGTCCTAGTGGTTCTTTATGAAGGGGTTGAATAGGGTTGGCACATCTAATTAAGGTTTACAGTTTTTATAGGCCTCCATAGATAAAAATCATTCTATATTTTAGTTGAGCATCTCCTGAGAACCAAAGAGCTCTCTATCTGCCCTCACACACACCTCTGTCCTGAATGAGCTCAATTCAGCCCCAAACACAGTATGTGTGCCATGCTTACCTAACTAGATGGCTTTGCAGACACATGCACAAACACGTTTACACATACACAGACCTTTAAAACCCAATAGACAATGAAGGGCAATTGCATGGAGAGCAGTTTGAAGATTTGTCCACCCACTGTTCACCAACATGGATTCTATGAGGTCTTTGCGACTCTCGGTGGTAAACTTTGGTTTACCACCGAGGATACAGCCTGTTGGAAAGACTACATCTCCTTGGGAAATCTCAGATGATGCTTTTTACTTGAGGACTTCATAAATTACCTGTAATTTTTTTTTTAACTTTTACACACAGTTCAGTCAGGTTTTAGAACTGGTAGAAAGATTGGTAAGTGGAAAATGTCAAGATCCAACTGTGCTCAGTGTATTCTTTCTCCAAAGTAGGGAGAGCATCTGTGCCCTTCTTTCGGGGAATATGGCAGCCAGAGTTTGGAGGCTTCGAGAGTAAATGTGTGTTCTCTTCAGAGCAGGGAGGACAGAGCAGTGGAAGCTCTTCCCCTCCATGGCCTCTCTTTCTCTTGTGCCTCAGGTCCCTTGGAGCACGTGCACCTGTCTCTTCCCTTTGTCACCACAAAGAACAAAGAGGTCAATGCGACGGCGGTGCTGTGGCCCAGCCAAGTGGGCACCCTCACTTATGTGTGGTGGTACGGGAACAACACAGAGGTGAGTCACCTTCCACATGCGGTCTAGGGATGGAAGCCCACATTACACTGCCTAAGCAGAGAAGGAAATGAAATGTCTTACAAACCCAGGAGTGTCGGGGCAGTCCTGGCTTCAAAGACAAGCTCCCTTGGTGCTCAAGTATCTTATCATTATATTCTCTCTCTCTCTCTCTCTCACCCTTCTCCCCCTCCTGCATTTCATCTCTGCCTTCCTCTATGTGGACATTTTCCCCCAGCTGCATTTGTCTTTGCAGTGACTCTTGGCAGCCCTCGCTTAGCAGAGAAATTAAACTCTTATTTTCTGAAAGTTCTAACAGCAGTCCTGAAATTGAGTCTTATTGGCCAGGCCTTGATCACAGTGCTGGGGGTGGAGAGGGAGGTGAGGGACTCAGTCTCCTCGGAACCACATGAACTGCAGAAGGGGAGAAGGGATGACCAGAAGAAAATGAAGCAACCAGGGCTGGGCACGATGGCTCAAGCCTGTAATCCCAGAACTTTGGGAGGCCGAGATGAGTGGATCACAAGGTCAGGAGGTTGAGACCATCCTGGCTAACCGGATGAAACCCCGTCTCTACTAAAAATACAAAAAATTAGCTGGATGTGGTGGCACATGCCTGTAGTAGTCTTGGCTACTCAGGAGGCTAAGGCAGGAGAATCGCTTGAACCTGGGAGTCGGAGGTTGTAGTGAGCCGAGATCACGCCACTGCGCTCCAGACTGGGCAACAGAGCGAGACTCCATCTGGAAAAAAAAAAAAGAAAAAGAAAAAAATCAGCTGGATGCTGGACAGGCACAAGCAACAGATTTCCATCCATCACGACCCACCCCTGATGGCCTCCTCACCCCAAATCAAAACTCTTATTTAGGTCAGCTTTAACTCTTATGCTTTTTTCCCAAATATTCCCTATCCTCAAAAGTCAGTGGCAATTTTAAATCTAGTAGAGACCCAACGCCTCATCTACTAAGTCCTTCATTTTGCACATGAGGAAAGTGAGGGTGATGCAGCTGGAGCGGTTTACTTTGATCTCTTCCAGCTGCTTCATAAGAGGCCAAGTGTAAGGCCTTCTGATGCCTCCATTAATTTTTCTTTCCTCTGCACCAGGCTGCGTGGTGTATTTCAGTTTTGAAGTCATTCCATTCTCAGAAATTAAAGTGCTTCCGAATGTAAGTAAGACAATAGAGCTGAAGCCCCAGAGGACACTGGGATGAACTGCTCTGGACTGAAACGCTCCATCTTCTTCCAGCAGAGCTGCTTTCACGTGGTGACTTTGCTCTTTAAATATGATGTCTCTTATTTTAATAAAAACGTTTTTCTACTCTCGAGCTGAAACTTGGCTTTAGCTGGAGACATAATTTTGCACAGGCCCAGGAGGAAGCCTCCCCTGAACCTTAACAGAGGAAAGAACGTCTCACTTCTACTGCAACCATAACTAGGCTGAAAAGAGGCTCTTTTTTTAATTTCATCTGGAACTATGCATGTTAATTCAGCCCATACTGGGCCCTCTATCCATGGTGGAAGAGGAGGAATCTATGCCATTTCCCTGAAAACTAGTACTAGAAGGTGAAAATACTGAACAACTTTCTTTTGTATCTCCTATTATCAGTTTTTATCTTTCCTTTTAAAAGAAAACCAGATTCTCAGGAGACCCCACTGAAAAGGTTTCCCATGCTGGGCTTTAGTCTTCTTTCTGCCTTACAGGGAATCAAATGAATTTTGATTTTAAAATTAATTAAGAAGAGACAGGAAATAAATGTTTGAGGAGTGTGTCAAGGGAGGTCAGCAGGCTAATATTTTTTTTGTCTAGGACCGCAGCATTCAATTGTATTGCAGGCATCGCTCCATTTTTTTTTTCCTGTTTTGAATCCTCAAATCACTATCCAATTAATACTTGTTTCCACAGCAGCAGCTACTTCCAGGAAACCGCTGATGGGGCTTCTCAGAGAGGGTCAGCATGCAAGGCCACTGCTGTTTAACTACTGTATGGTTTTGGTGTAGGGAATTCATGTTCCATTGTAATTCTACAGAAATTCCACACCCTGGAGATGAACACCTGGCAGCTTATAGATTTTCAGTGACTGCTGCTTCAATCTGGATTAATATAAGCCCCCTGTTCTCATTTGATTTGACTGTTTCCTTGTATTAGGGATCTGCTTGATATGAGTAGGTTATGCACAAAGAGACATATATGCCACCAGCAAGCAAGACCTACCCATCTCCTCAGCCCTGAATCAGGTTGATACCAGGAATTCACAATGAATAGGGAGGCTTTCTGGGAGTCATTGCTCCAATAACCTCTTTTCTGTTTTGGACTTGAGAGGATGGGGAGGCGTAGGTGGACTCAATTCCATTGTGGTACATCAGGAAGAGCCTCTACTGAGTTAGAGGACAGCCCGTTGTTGGCTCAGAGTTGGTGACCGTCTCAACTCTAAATAGCTTTCCTTTCACTCTGGGCCCTCGTTTGTTTTAGCCTTTGATCACCTTGGAGGGAAGCATATCCTTCAGATTTACTTCAGAAGGAATGAATACCATCACAGTGCAGGTCTCAGCTGGGAATGCCATCCTGCAAGACACAAAGACCATCGCTGTATATGGTGAGTGCCCATCTCGTGGATCCACAGCTGTCCTTGTGCTCAGAGGAGGTTCTCTTGTGCTGTGATGCCTGAGACCATCCCCCAGCATTTTTTTTTTTACCTGGAGAATGGTGGCCAGTAGTTGAGAAAGAGCTGAGGCAAGTCTCATGTCCTCCTCTAGGGAAATTGGAATCACTAGTAAAACAGTGTCACAGGATCCAAAAAGGGCTTGTTTTGTTTTCTTAGAGGGAGAAAGACTATTCACTCACTCAAAGTGGATTTTGTGACGTGTGAGGCTAACTCATTTCACTAAGAATGTTAGTGGTATTTGAATGCCAGTTACAAATTAAAACAGCTAAAGTTGAATCTCTTTTTAAAGTTCAACGTTAAAATTATTGATTAATAAGAGAAATCTGCCATTATCTAGATACTTGAAAAACCTCTTCCACAAATCTGTATCATAAAAAAAATGTCTGCTAGATTCAGAGTTATGGAAGAATTATAACAATCAGATGTGGTGCATAGCCATAGGCTGGACCCATAATGAACAATTTTGTGATCAGTTGGGGAAATTGAATATGGTTAGAGTATTAGATGGAATGAAAATGTCCTGAAATGAAAGGGTGGAGTCACTGAAAACTGGAAAGATAAAAGCACTTGATGGATTGATTTTGTTTTGGTAAATCTTTTTTTGTATAGAAAAATAGTCATTTGGATATGCACTAAGTGTTACTAGTACATTATTAGTATGGAAATGGTACATATGATTCCTGAAAAAATAGCATTTGAAATATGGGAAAAGAAAATGCTGTGCAGAGAGAGGAGGAGGCAGAAGGAGGGAGGACAGAAGGATGAAAAAGAGAGCAAGAGAGGCCAGGCGCAGTGGCTCGCATCTGTAATCCCAGCACTGGGAGTCCAAGGCAGGTGGATCACGTGAGGTCAGTAGTTTGAGACCAGCCTGACCAATATGGGGAAACCCCGTCTCCACTCAAAATTACAAAATTTAGCCGGGCTTGGTGGTGCATGCCTGTAATCCCAGCTGCTCAGGAGGCTGAGGCAGCAGAATGGCTTGAACCCCGGAGGCAGAGGCTGCACTGAACCAAGATCACACCATTGCACTCCAGCATGGGCAATGAGGGCAAAACTCCATATCAAAAAGAGAGAGAGTGAGAGAGAGAGAGAGAGGGAGAGAGAGTGCGAGCCTAGCTTGTGTTCCAAATAATATGAATTGTCCAGTTCTCATAATTTTTATGAGAATATTTGGGACTAGATTTTCCCATGAGGAGTCAGGTTCTGTTAATGCTCATGTTGCCAAGTTGACCTTCTAAGTCAGAAAATAATCTGTGAGCAACTTGGAACACATCTAAGGATCAAAAGGCCTTAGGGACACTATTTCCTTTTATGGCTGGGTGTTAGTTTTTTAATTTCTTCTCTCTCCTTTCCTCCTGAATGGCTTGATCAGCCCAGATAATAGGAATTAAGCCAGGGCCATGATTTTCCTAACAGTGTCCCATCAGGGAGGTACGAGGTGGCCAAACTGGCTGTGTAGAGTGGAGCAGAGTCTGCTTTTCTTCTGTTCACCATCTCCTTTCTGTGTGCTGGGAATGCATTTATTCTTCATAATAAGCCTAGTGTATGGCAGGCAGTATTATGATCCCCATTTTTCAGAGTGGTGAATAACTTGCCCCACCTAGCAAGTTGTGCAGCTGGGCTTGAATCCCAGCCCATCTAGACTCAGCGCCTAGCACTGAAACTATCCTACTTAACTGACTCTCATTTATTTCCACTGGATGCTTTTTTTTTCCTTACTCTCCGTCTTGGATGTCACCAGTTGCACAAATGGACACTGACCTATTAGTCCAACAGATATCCTCTTGGTTATGCATGTTGGTGATGTCATTAGCATCATGGAGATAACCTAAAATCTTGGCCGTATCTGGTCCAGCCCACCATTTTTTATAGATAGGAAATAATACATAGGGAATTACTGCTTAAAGTCATTCTGCCCTTTGGTGACAGATATGGTAATAACAATGTTGGTGGTGGTAGTAATTAACATTGATGAAGACTTTACTGGTCACTGGCATCTGTTCTAAGCACTTGGTATATGTGATCTGCTTTATTGAATCCATTCAGATTTATGAGAAATATTCTATAATTATGCATTTTACAGATGAGAAAACATAAACAAACAGAGCCTAACAATTCTGAATCCAGAGGGCATGTTTGTAAGCACCTCCCATGCCTGAATCACCGTTTATAAAAATAGGTTATTACATGTCTCTTCATTAAGAGATTGGATAAGGCTCTCCTCCTTTTCTAACGAAATTCCTGCACCATCAGCTACCTTTAATTTGTCTTCGTTCAGATGAGTTATCCAGAGATTCATCTACATAGTCGGAAAGTTGAGGGGTGTCTCCCTGTGTTGCCCAGGCTGGTCTCAAACACCTGGCCTCAAGGGATCCTCCCTCCTCAGCCTCCCAAATTACTGAGAAACAGGCATGAGTCACCACACCTAGCTCCATGATCAGACAGTTTTAATGACAGATTTAACTCCTTGAGCAAAAGTTGCACCAGGCAAAGTTAAACAGGAAAGATGAAACCCAACTGAAAGAAATGGCAGGAATATTTGTAAATGCTGGGATAGCTAGTGGGAAAATATGGGAAGACTTCAGGAAGCATTTGGGTTTTCAGTGTGATTAGACCATCCGTGTGAGTTAATAGCTGCTTAGGGAAGTCAGTGTCCTACCCTCCTGTGGAGACAGGGAGGGGTGCTGTGTTTCTTGATGTTTATATTTCAAAGGAATGGCTCCCAGGTCCTGGAGAAAGACATTCATGAGTTGTACAAGATTTACATCTCAAGGGACAGAGAAGGAACTTACAGTTGTAAGTTTTCTAGACTAAATACTTTAAGAAAAGCAAGTACAGGGGCTTACAGTCAGGAAGAAACAGAAACTTATTTAAAGTTTAGTCAAATTGAGGGGAACATGGAGGTTTGTCATGGTGGGACTGGAAAAAAGCATCACATTTGGGAAATTGATAGGGGAAGGTTTGTCTACCGAAAGCCACACAATAGATTAAAAGAAAGAAAATCTAGTTTGCATTGTTTCTTTTCATTTGCTCCAGGACACAGTTTTGCTTATAAATAAAAATATGCAAATGTGTAGAATTTATCTTTCTCAACAGCTGCAAAAAATATATATTATTGGTGTTTACCCTTTTCACACCTCCCACACACATCCCCGATTTCTTGAATCGACTTAAGTACAACGTTTCCATGCCATTCTCCCTCCTTGCCATGCTGTTGAGTATGCTAAGTAATTACAGAGGGAGCTGCATCATTTTCTCATTTGTGTCCTTTTACTAAGATAAACATTCTCCCTTGTAGACGAAGTCCTTGCAGTTTAGTAAGAGGTATAGAGAAAGCAAGAATGACACAAACTTCTATCTTCATAGCAAAAAACTGAGGACTCAGTGGTTGATTCTTTGGCACTGCTGTTTACTACACTATTTAACCCACATTTCATTGTTTTCCATCAGGTAATATTCACATAGGTGACCAGTGACTCATAAAATGGTCAAGCTTTGAACAGTACCTCTTTGGAATACAATAACTACCATGGATATGCACCGTATACTGTCAGAGTCTTCTAAACATGTGTTTAATAACTCCTTAGCATTATTAGGAAATCTACTAGTGAGCTTTTATGCTTCCTGAATATAAATTGGCATCCCCAATGTCGCTTAGACCCTAATGAAACAAAAGGGCATGGTTAATATCAGAAATGTTTATTAAATAAATAAATGCAGACATTTCAAGGAGCCTCCACTGTAAGTTAAGCATACATTCATTCAACAAATATTTGTTAATTAAATGACTCACAGATAGTAACTGAAAACCTACCATGTGCCAGACACTGTCCGAGGACCAGGAACACAGAGCCATCTTCCTGATGGAGCTTCTGTTACAGTTTGAAGGACATAACAATGAAAACAAAATAATTTAAATAGCACTGAGTGTGAAAAAGACAGAAAGGGTCCACTGATGAAAGGTGCATAAGATGGTGGAAGGGAGGCTACCTGAGGTTGGGTGGTTGGAAAGCCCTCTCAAGGTGAGACTGAGTGATGAGAGGAAGCTGAGTTTGCTGCAGTCCCATAAAGTGGAGAAGGCTGGTATGGATGGAGCCAGCAGGATTGAGGAGCGCAGGGAAGCACAGGTCCTGGAGCACAGAGAGTGCAGGGAAGCCATGTGGGACAGGAGGAAGGAAAGGAAGTCCCCACCAGGTTATGTGAGGCCAGGAAGGCTGTGGTAAGAATCTAGATTGTATTCTAAATGGAATGTGGAGCCACTGGAAAGTTTCAGGGGAGCCATATGATCTGAGTCTACCATGTGCCACACACTGTGCTGGATTAGGGATGTCAAGGCCACCAGAATGTGCCTCACAGACCTCCAACTTTGGAGAGTGTAATTGACCACGGCCTCCAGTATTGTGCTGTGATGCTTATCACCAAGCTAGGGGTAAGGCTCCACCTTCCAGGGACTCACCTATCCTGCCAGTGACAGAGTATGGCAGGGATACTAAGGCTGATCTATTCCTGGGACATAGGGGACTCCACTGCCAGCTGATGTTGGCTCTGAGACTCCTGATGGTTCAGGCTTGCTGAACCGTCCTCAGACTGCGGAGTAGTCACCCACTGTTTCTTCCTCTCTTTGACTGTTCTATATGCATGCACAGTGGTCTGATGGTTCTCCATGACTCCTGTGGCTTCCTCTCCACTTTCTCGCACAGAGAATTCCCCTCACATAATCCTTGCTTGTGTAATCACCATCTTGCTTCCTAGAGAACCTGAACTAACTCAGGTGCTACAAAGACAATGAAGAAAATCCCTGAATAACATAAAATTTCATTAAATGAAACTTCCATGCAAACAAGAGCAATAGAATGATTACAGTGATAATTATAAATAACTCATCATCATATTATTCCATAATCATGTAATAGTAATAAAAGTATGTACCACACAGAGTCGTGTCATAAAAAAGAAAATTAAAATGTGATGTGGGAGGATAGTGAGTCAGGGAGTGCTTGAACTAGAGCTTGAATATTTTGCACATGGACTGTGGGGAGAATGGGGCATTCTAGGCAGAAGAACAGTTTGTGCAAAGGCCCAGAGTCATAAACCTGCCATGCATTCAGGTTGCTCCAGATCATCTGCTATCCAGGAGTCCAGAATCTAGATCTAGGAATAATGGGCAAAAACTGCAAATATAGGCATGGAACAAAGTTAGGGGTTTGGTTTAGCAAATAAGGGCCTACCGGCTCTTAGAGTTGGGAGGGCAACCTTTGATATGCAAATGCTGGCCATTCATAACTGGGTTCACCCAAACATGGTGATTCCCTGCCCTCTTCTTGCCCTCGCCCTCACATGTATCTGGCAACATGGCTGCCCCCACATATCCCAAACTGTGTAGAACAACATGGCGCCCTGCATTTGCATATTAAAAGGCTAGGGTGGAAGGGTCATTTTTTTCCTGGTCTACATGAATGACATGCCTGGTCAAGCCTATCCTCTGAGCCCTGTGCAAATCCGACACCACCTCCTCCTGCCTTCTCATGTAACTGACTGATATTTGCCACACGTGGGGCCTCCTCTGTCGACTTGGGAGCTCCCTTCCCTCTTTCTCTGTATGGGGGAGCTTCTTCCCTCTTTCTTCTCCCTTCTTTCTTGCCTATTAAACTCTGCTTTTTAAAACAAAAAAAAGAAGAAAAGAAGGGACTGGTGAGATATTCACAAGGTAGTGACTTACCTTCCCTAAAGGTCTCTAGGGTAAGTGTCAAGGGAAAGGACCCTCTATTTTGCATAAAATATAAGGTCTAACAAACCTGTTGATGAGACTGTTTGACTTACAGTATTCCATATACTCTTGTATCCCCAGAGGAATTCCGGTCCCTTCGCTTGTCCTTTTCTCCAAACCTGGATGACTACAACCCGGACATCCCTGAGTGGAGGAGGGACATCGGCCGAGTCATAAAAAAATCCCTGGTGGAAGTGAGTACACACAGTGTCTTCTCTTGCCCAAGTGCCTTTTCTCTCTGTCCTTGAAGAATTTCGCAGAAAGGGGAGCTTTGTACAAAAAGAATGATAGAAAGAAGCAGCTAGAGGCCATGGGAAGGTCAGTTTATTGGTCTGATATCTCCACAGCTAAGGCCACACATGCAGACACATCAAAGGCCCTAAAGGAGATACAGCCGTGGAACCGTGGACAAACATGAGGTCCTTGCCCCTGGTGACTCTTACTCTGCTAGGAGAATGAGAACAGGACAACCTAAACTCCTTTTCCACATTTCTGTAGCGGAGTTCACAATTAGGCCATTGAGAAGTATAAAACCAGCTACTGTACATGCCACTGAAGCAACTCGGCATGTAAGTGTCCTCGGGTGACTACCATTATTAAGAGTGGTCTCAGGTTCCAGCTTCCACAGCCGTGAGCATAACAGTGCACTGAGTATTCAGTATATGCTGGTTAGACATATTTCTATGTCCCCATTTTTTTTTTTTTTTTTGAGACAGAGTCTTGCTCTGTCACCAGGCATCGGGCTGGAGTGCAGTGGTGCGATCTCGGCTCACTGCAACCTCCGCCTCCCGGATCCAAGCAATTATCCTGCCTCAGCCTCCCGAATAGCTGGGACTACAGGCACATGCCACCATGCCCAGCTAATTTTTGTATTTTTTTTAGTAGAGACGGGGTTTCACCATGAAGGCCAGAATGGTCTCGATCTCTTGACCTCGTGATCTGCCTGCCTTGGCCTCCCAAAGTGCTGGGATTACAGTGTCCCCATTTTTAAAAGACATTTCTGTAATGTAACAGCCCCCAAAAGGAATTATTACCCACATTGTGTAGATGAGGCAGTTTATCTTGCCTAAACTCTCACAGCTAATAGAGGATGAAGCTAAAAAATTGAAATTAAGGGCCTGAGTCCAATGTCTGGGCTTTTGTGTATTTGACAAAGCCTCCTTAGGTTTCTGGGAGAATACCAAGGTGGCTGTGGTTTAGCCCTCTCTCAGCAATGTCACTGACGATTGGAGAGGATATCTTCTTTTAGGCACATCTCCCCGTCCTTATTCTACCTTTTTTTTTTTTTTTTTTTTT